AGCTTGAGGGTCTGTCTCAAACAAACAAACAAACAAAAAAGATACTCTCATACATACACTCAAAGATAGATGCATATGCAAAAATATTCACAGCAGCACTGTTTGTAGCAGTGAAATATCTGTCGGTGGGGGACTGATAAAATACACTATGACACATCAATCAAAGAGATTGTATGTGGTCATTAAGAATGAGTCAATGCTACCCATATAGATATGGGATGATTTTTAAGATATATCATTGAGTGAAAAAATGCCATGTTTAGAGTATTGTGTATAGTATGCAACACACATATGCAAGTTATACTCAAATGATATAAAAATCTCTTTGGAAGAATACCCAGGCAATGGAGAGCAGAGTTGTTTCTGGAGAAAGCAGCCAGGAGCTAAGGGCCAGAGATCAGAGGGAGACTTATTTTTTAGCATGTGCTCCTTTTTTGTTATTGAAAATTTTATCATGTGCATACATTATCTTTCTAAAAACATCTGAGTCACCATTTGAAAATTTAGAATCTCACTTAAAAAAATCTTGATTTTTGGCATCTCTTTAAAAAATGAGATGATCTGCAAACACTAGGCCTATAAATTTATGTGGAAACCACCACCAAAGCTGGGCGTTGGCTGCATGATCAGGGCTAGGGCAGGGCAGGGGTTGGGCCCAGGTGTTCCTTAGCCCCCAGGCTCAGCTTTCAGCTTCCTACAAGCTTCTACTTGTGGCTTTAAGATAACAGGGATCATGGGGTGGGGAGGAGGGGGGCAGAGGTTCCCTCTCTGCACCCCCTGTAGGGACACTCACCGACAGCTTGGTAGAGGGCCAGGAAGCCCTTGTGGTGGTGGATGGGCTTGTCCTCTGAGACAGCGTGTGTTCGGAAGGTCAGTTGCAAACTCCTCCCTGAGGACACAAACTCCCTCTGACCAGGAGGGCTGCCCAGAGGTGAGTCCTGCTGACCACAGAACTGGCTTAGATTCATCCCACTGGCTGAGATCTGAAAGGGGGAGGAAGAGAGAGAGGGTAGATGGCTGTAGGGTCAATCTACACTCCTGGTAGTCAGAAGGTCACATCCTCAGCATGGCTCCAGCCCCATATAGAGGATCTGTAGCTCTCTGGGGCTCAGAAGCCACACTCTGTGAAGCATTCTTCAAGTAGATTCCTGCTCCATCATTGACTCCTGAGTTTGTTCCAAACATGACCACATACTCGAACATCTCTTTAACCCACCATAATTATCTCATAAAGCCCACCATATTTTCCTTCTTTCAGGAAGCTTCATGAGAACTCCAGGGTTTCTACAGTTTGGTCACCGGATTGTAAATTCTAAGAAGGCAGGAATTACACCTGTTTTGCTCACCATTGAGTCCCTGATGCTCAAGATGGTGCCGATAGCACCCCAGTTGACTTAATGAATATACAGACATAATCCCCTCATCCAGCTCCACCCCTGGCCCTACCACAATCCCATCACCTCCCACTTCTCTGAGTAAGACCTTCTGCCAAGATTGAGCCCCTGGGCTCCCTGCCCGTTCTTGTTCTTATGGGGTGTCCTCCCCTCATGCCATGCACAGTAATCGAAGCTCTCACCATGTGTGGGAATGTAGGGAGACTGATGCCTACAGTACAGCATGCTGGATGTTGCTGTCTAACCTGGTGAGTTCTTAAAGCAGGTTATCTCTATGTCTATCTCTATGTCCATCCACTTTTTTTTTTTTTTTGCAGTTTTGGCCAGGGCTCTGTTTGAACCCACCACCTGCAGCATATGGGGCCAGCGCCCTACTCCTTTGATTAATGAAGTGGTGGATGCTAAATGAATCTGGAACTGATGTATAAGTAGACACTTTTGACTGTCTTGCCCTTGCTCAGATCCCTTTCTGTGAGATTCAAGAAAGGGGCAATTTGGAAGGATTCCACCCCACTGCTGGGCTCATTTCATCTCTGATGTTCATATTGATCTGTGTATCCGGGGTTCTTGTTAGCTCTCCATTCTCTCATTCTTTAAGTCTCAAATTTCTCTAAGACTTATCCAATCCATCTCACTATGATCATATTAACTGGGTAAAAGTTGGCATGAAGGAATTTTCTCAATCACCCTAAATGCCTTGCTGGAACAAGTTCCAATACTGATCTTTTCTTTAGAACACCAACAAATGTAACTCTCCACATTTAAGAGGCCTGCCTCCTGCGAAGAAGCATTTTGGTATAGGAAACTATGCAACTGAAGTGGGTTGTAAAATCCTCCCGTTTTCTTTCCACTCATTCTCGTGACTTGTTAGCTAAATAAAACCTCTTAGGATTCTAACTGGCAAAGTTGAGTGAACACACAACAAAGAGTCCCAAGACTGTGTTAAATTCTAGACTTTTGCTTCTAACTCCCTGTGTGACAATGGGGGAATTTCTTAAGCATCCCAAGTTTCTTTTTTTTAAAAAAAGGAATAATTGGATAAATACCTTATTTGTTTTTATTTATTTTTCTTAAATGTATGTATGACTCACATTTATTTCAGTGTTTAATATTATAAGTGTTCGGTTTTTATTTAGAAATTTGTTGTGACCATAAATATGCTGTAGAAACTTCATTCTTGTTTACATCAATTAGCAGATGGTTAATTGGTTTCATTCTGTGTCATTTCACTTAAAGGCACAGTTTCCAAGGACCTATGGACAGCATTAAGGGAGGACTCTTTGTCCTAAAGCAGACAGAGTACAAGTCTATCTGTCCAACAGTTAACACCTCCCTCCCCCAGGCCCCTTTCCTAACTTGCTATCAGGAGCTGGAGACTACAGGAGTCCCTTCTGGGGACAGTGGCTGTCATCAAAGAAATGCCTTTACATTTTGACAGTTGAGAGGACCCCAACACCATATCTAAGTAACCTTGTTGATAACCCTACGTTGAAGGCTATCATTTGACAAATTTCAGATATCTACATAGAACTGGCAATCAGCATTTCAGTTCTTACCCTTAAGCATGAATGGACAGCCAAGTATTCTTAGAGGTTGTAAGGAAGTCTCTAACTCCAAAAGCCAAGATCAAAACAGACTGTGAAAAGGAACTTGGATGAAGTAGAGATAATATTGGAAACAAAAGAATCATTTAAAAATAATGTCAAAGGTCTTGGTGCCTGTAGCTCAGTGGTTAGGGTGCTGGCGATATACACCAGGGCTGGTGGGTTTGAACCTGGCTAGGGCCTGCTAAACAACAATGACAACTGCAACAAAAAAATAGGTGGGTGTTGTAGCGGGCAAGAGAAGGTTTAAGCCCAAGAGTTTGAGGTTGCTGTGAGCTGTGACGCCACAACACTCTACAGAGGGTGATATAGTGAGACTCTTGTCTCAAAAAAAAAAAAAAAGAAATAATATGTCACTAGAAAAAAAAAAAATCATGGCTCATCACCTGTGGCTCAAGTGGCTAAGGCGCCAGCCACATACACCTGAGCTGGTAGGTTCAAATCCAGCCTGGGCCCACCAAACAGCAATGATGGTTGCAACCAAAAAATAGCTGAGCGTTGTGGCAGGTATCTGTAGTCTCAGCTACTTGGGAGGTGGAGACAGGAGAATCGCTTGAGCCCAGGAGTTGGAGGTTGCTGTGAGCCGTGATGCTACAAGCACTCTACCCAAGGAGACAGCTTGAGGCTCTGTCTCAAAAAAAAAAACAAAAAAAAAACATTAATTAAAAGGGTGGATTTTTTGCCACTTGAGCCACAGGCCTTGAACCAAAAGGGTGGATTTTTAAAAATGAGGAACTCTTAGCTGGATGTGGTGGCTCACCCTTGTAATCCTAGAGTTTTGGAAGGCTAAGGCAGGTAGATTGCTTGAGACCAGGAATTCAAAATCAGAAAATCAGCCTAGGTAACATAGCAAGATCTTGTTTATACAAAGAAAAAGAAAATTAGCTAGGTAAGGAGGATCACTTGGCTGGGGAGTTCAAGGCTGCAGTGAGCTGTGATTGTGCCACTACTCTACCTGGGAGTGCAAAACTCTGTTTTGTCTGTCTCCCCTTTTTTTTTTTTTTTTTGAGATGAAGTCTCACTCTGCTGCCCTGGCTAGAGTGCTGTGACGTTATTGTCATCTTAGCTCACAGCAACCTCAAACTCTTCAGCTCAAGTGATCTCCCTGCCTCAGCTTCCTGAGTAGCTGGGAATACAGGCGCCCACTAAAATGCCTAGCTGATTTTTCTATATGTTTTTATTTTTAATTTTTTTTAGTACAGATGGGGTCTTGCTCTTACTCAGGCTAGTCTCCTCCTCCTTGATCTCCTGAGCTCTAGTAAACCACCTGTCTCAGCCTCCCAGAGTGCTAGGATTATAGGCACCACACCCAGCCATGAGTTCTTAAAAAAAAAAAAGATGAAGAAATCCCCTAGAAAGTAGAACAAAAAGGCAAATGAACAGAAAATAGACCAGAACAGATAACAAAATTAGAGAATCAGTCCAGAACATAAATAGCTGAATTATAGGAGAAAGAGAAAATAAAGAAAACAGATGCCTGGAAATTATTGAGGAAATAATATAAGAATGTTTCCAGAATTGGCTCTGTGCCCGTAGCACAGTGGTCATGGTGCCAGCCATATACACCAAGGGAGCTGGGTTTGAGCCCGGCCCAGGTGAGCTAAACAACAATGACAACTGCAACAAAAAATAGCTGGGTGTTGTGGCAGGTGCCTGTGGTCCCAGATACCTGGGAGGCTGAGGCAAGAGAATCACTTGAGCCCAAGAGTTTGAGGTTGCTGTGAGCTGTGACACCACAGCACTCGACCAAGGGCAACATAGTGAGACCCTGCCTCAAAAAAAAAAAAAGAATGTTCCCAGAATTGAAGGACTAGAGTAAAAGAGTCTCTAGATTAAAAGAGAGCTGCACAATGAGTGATAAACACTGGCATCAAAGCCCATCATAATGAAAGTCTGGAAACTGGAATAAGAAAAACATTCCAAAAGTTTTAGAAAGAAATAACTAAGGATCAGTCACCAGACCTAACAAGTCTAGACCTAGAAGACAACATCATCAAAATTCTGAGAGAAAAGAAGCTTCCCATTCAGAATGCTATACCCAGATCAACTACCCACCCACGGTGAGGGGAGAACTGAGACATTTTGGGACATGGAAGATCCTCTAAAATTTCCTCTAAAATATCTTTTCTAAGTAAGCTATTGGAGAATGTGTTTCTTCAAAATGAGGGAGTAAGCTAAGATGGTTAAAGATATGAAATTCAGGTTCATCAAAAGACAGGTAAAGGAAATTCCCAGAAAGAGGGAGAAGGGAACTCCAAGAATGTGTGCAGGCTTCGAGAGCAAAGAATTCAAATGGTGGCAATAAATCGTCAAGAGAGCTTCAGGAGGGGTGTCACCAATAAAAAGGAGGACTGACAGATTAAAATTTGTGCACGAGTACACTTTCTTATTCTGGTTAAGGGTCTGGGGAGATTAGTTCCAGAAAGAACTAAGAAAACTAAAGATTAAAACAAATCCAAACAAAACCCCCAAAGCACTCCAGGTAATTACTGACTTCTGGGAAGCCCAAAAGTTGGAGAAGAAAAGGATTATAATTACTGTACACCATGTGCTCAGATGTGAATATTTTGCAGTTATAACAATATAATTTGTAAATCTAGATGTAACTAAATATAATAACTAAGTAAACTGAGAGAATGGGGAGGGGAGATGTGGATGGTGAAGATCTAAGACAAAACTAGTCGTCTTCTTCTACATTATGGTTGAAAGTTAATAGAAAATATGTAAAAATAAAAGTAAGAAGTAAAAATAGAATGAGCACATTATTTATACATATGAAGATAAATATCAGATAGGTACATGTATTGGCAATGATTGTCCCTGGGAAGCAGCAATCAGGTGGAGGAGGAGTAGTTTGAAGACTGCTGTTTTTCATTATAAGTTTTTTAAGTTTTAAAAATTTTATTTATTTATTTTTGAGATAGTCTCACATTGTCACCCAGGTTGGAGTACAGCAACACAATCATTGCTCATTGTAACCTCAAACTCCTAAACTCAAGCAATATTCCCTTCTCAGCCTCCCAAGTAGCTGGGAGTACAGATGTGCACCACCATGCCCAGGTAGATCCTTTTTTTAGAGATGGGGTCCAGTCTTATCTCAAATTCCTGTTCTCAAGCAATCATCCTACCTCAGCCTCCCAAAGTGCTAGGATTACAGGAGTGAACCACTGTGCCTGACCAAAACTCTAATTTTTAAAAAATTACATGTGTGCTTTGATACAAATAAAATTTAAACCAAAAGATAATGTAAAACATTATTCTTAAAATGTCCTATACTGAATGACGTCCTTGTCATAAGAGGTTTTGTGAAAGCTCCTCTGAGGTAAGTGGGAATGTTTACTTAATCTTTTGTTTCCTGATCTGACAGTGCAGTCACTCAACAAATATGTGATGACATATTTTTAATGGCTGATGTGTGCCCCTGCCCCTGACTCTGCAGATCTGCTTTATTTGTTTCCCTCCATAAGTCTTCCAAAGGCAGGGCCTGACTGCTGCCCTGTCCTTTGTCTTGGCACTGACCATGGCCTCCTAGGTAAGCTGGGCTGCAATGCCCTGACTGGGGTTTTTTGTCCCTCCTCTAGATATGTTATTCAGTGCAGAGCCCCCTCCCGCTGCCCTTCCCAGGGTCCTTGCAGGACCTCCACCCCCCAGCTCACTGTGACAGAGTCCCGTTCACAGTCCTGGGACGGCTCTAGGTCGAAGTCCTGGAACACGAGTCTCACAGCAAAGCCCTCCGGGGCCTCAATATCCACGGTGCTCTCTTGGCCTTTGAGATATGGTTCTGGGTATCTGGGGGATGTCAGCTGCTGGGGTAGTCGCTGGGCCAAGAGGACGGAGCCCTGTGTGGGGCGAGCTTGGAGAATTCCCCAGAGGAGCAGCCACCACCTATGAGTCAGAGAGGGCAAGGTGAGACCACATAGCTGTGCCTGAGACCTGTGGCTGTGCAGGAGTGGAGGAAGGCGAGGCTAAGGAGCCTGGCCAAGGCAGGCACAATGCTGGCCTCAGCCCTGAGACAGGGGCACCCCCTATCTACCTTCTCTGACCCCAGTGCCTACAGCTACCTGCTTAGCTTGAGCTCTAGGACTGTGAATTTTCCACCTTCTGAAGACCTCACCTCTGCTCACCTTCTGGGAGAGTCATCCTGAGGAGAGGACTTCTTTCTGCTTTAGCAGACCCACCCCCACCCTGGGATCTGCGGGGTCCATCCTGGAATCTGAGGGATCCACTGTGGTACAAGTGAGGGACAATTAATGGGAATGTTTTTCCTGATTCAGAGCACTGAGTCTGACTACCCTAGGAAAGGCTGTCGCTCCTCTGTGGATTGACTGCCCCGTGCGTGCATGTGTGTGCACGTGCATATGTGCACTGAGGGTGTGTTTGTGTGTGGTGCATGTACGCCCTTGTATCCTCCCTTCCCCTCTCTACAACCCATTCTTCTCTAGGTCTTGCAAGGGGCACACTCACATCTTGCCTGGGCAGCCTGCGGAGTGAGGGCTTCTCCAGAGATAGTTTCCCCACTGGGGTCCAGGCACCTGTAACTGGACATCTGGGACCGGTGAGGTACCTGGCCTAGGCTCCGGAACAAAAGGTTGAGAAGGCCCCTGTGGGGGCGGAGGAAGTTACTGGAAATGAGCTGAGTAGTTACTTAACTCCACAAGTTCCCTTTTTCGAATTCTCTGGGTTAGGCGCCACCTGCTGTCTGACTCAGAAATAGCTTGCCACGTACTTCCAAAATCAAGGGGCCTTCAGTCTTACTCTTGTACTGTTTAAAACTAGTTTTTCCCACCAGCAGTGTAGAAGCATTCCCTTCTCTCTGCATCCACACCAACATCTGTAGTTTTGGGATTTTGTAATGGGGCTAATCTTACTGGAGTTAGATGACATCTCTAAGTGGTTTTGATTTGCATTTCTCTGATGATTAAGGATGATGAGCATTTTTCCGTGTCTTTGTAGGCCATGCGCCTGTCTTCATCAGAGAAGTTTCTGTTCAAGTCTCTTGCCCACATATAAATGGGGTTAATTGTTCTTTTCTTATTGATTAGTTTGAGTTCTCTGTAGATTCTAGTTATCAGACCTTTAGCATAACCTGCAAAAATCTTATGTTCTGAAGGCTGTCTGTTTGCTTTGCTTACTGTGCTCTTGGTGGTGCAAAAGCTTTTTAGTTTGATAGATCCCAGTAATGTATTTTTGGTGTTGCTTCAATTGCCCGGGAAGGTCCTCCTCATAAAATATTCTCCCAGGTCAATTTCTTCAAGTGTTTTCCCCATACTCTCTTCCAGTATTTTTATAGTTTCCTGTCTTAAGTTTAAATCTTTTATCCAGTGAGAATCAATTTTTTTTTTTTTTTTGAGACAGGAGCCTCAAGCTGTCCCCCTAGGTAGAGTGCCGTGGCATCTCAGCTCACAGCAACCTCCAACTCCTGGGCTCAAGCGAGTCTCCTGCCTCTGCCTCCCAAGTAGCTGGGACCACAGGTGCCCGCCACAACGCCTGGCTATTTTTTCGTTGCAGCGGTCATTGTTGTTTGGCGGGCCCGGGCTGGATTCGAACCCGCCACCTTGGGTGTACATGGCTGGCGCCTTAGCCACTTGAGCCACAGGCGCCGAGCCAAGTGAGAATCAATTTTTGTTCACATCTTTTATGTTTGCCTGGATGGAGCTGGAACATGTTATTCTTGGTAAAGTATCTCAAGAATGGGTAAAAAAGTATCTAATGTACTCAATACTACTGTGAAATCAATATATAATCACCTACACACTCATACGAATGGCAAAACATAACTATAGTCCAGAAAGTAGAAGGGAAGAGGAGAGAGAGAGAGGGGAGGGGGGACATGGGAGGAGGGAGGGCATTTGGGGGGACCTCACCTAATGGGCATAATGCAATGGTACATTTCGAAACTATGAAGAAATGAGTATAATTGTGATGGATGTGTTACTTAGTTCAACGTAAGTATTTCACATTGTATATCAAAGCAGTACCCTGAACCCCATAAATGTATCAATGTACAAAGTTATGATTTAATAAAAAATAATAATAATAAAATAAAAAAATAAAAATAATTTTTACTATGTCATGTATCACACCTGCTATTTTGGCTCCTTGTGAGTTACAGATGATGCCTTTGACGGGCTATCTCTCTTCCTCCCTGGTCTTCTCACTCATTTACATTATAAGCCTGCCTCTTGTACAAATCAAAGTGTGTGACCTATGAACTTGAACTTTCCCTTCCTTTTGCTCCTTACCATGCATCAGTGGGGGGACATGCACTTAGGCATTCTTTTGAATCCTGCCTACAGTGCCTGGAGGTCAGAGTCAGGACAGCAGTCCAGGCCAAGTGTCCCTGAGTTCCCAGCTCAGAGATCACTCAAGCTTCCTTAGGCAGATACTAGTGCCATGGCTGCCCTCACTGTCCCCCAAGAAGGACATTCACCCACTGCTTGGTAGGGAGCCAGGAAGCCCTTGTGGAGGTAGATGGCACTATCCTTAGAGAAGGCAGGTTTGAGGAAGGCCTTACATTCTAGACACTTGCACGCATTGCACAGAGAAGAATCTAGTGCTTCCTCCATTTTCATGTAGTAATATGGTGCCTCACAAATGAAGCAAGTTACAGACCTAAACAGGGTATGTCTTTGGTTTTTCCAGACTAAAAAGATTCAAGAGAGCCATGGTTCATGGCTATGAGATGGCAAGAGAGTAATGATCAGGACAGAAAAAATTTCTCCAGTACAGTCTTGAGATCATGTATACCTGTTGGCCATGCCCTAATCCCAAACATACTTGGGATATGCCCTAACCCCAAACATACCACCTGTTGAAGAGGGACCCTCTGGTGGGACTTCTTTCCTCTGAGAGCACCTAAATCTGCCCTCTCATATAACTCTTAGGGTCACACGGAGCAGCGAGGGAGCCAGAGATGTATCCAAACACACGGGTGCCAATCCCATGACCTGTCTGTAGGGAGGAAGGGCTTAGATGAGGGCTGAGGAGTCCACTCCTCTTCTTCCTTCAGAGCATTATCCCTGTATTCCTGCTAATGGTCTGTGATAGGCAGGATTGTATTTAGCTCTTAAGCTTGCCCTCCACTGCTAAAAGGGCAGGAACTCCGGGCGGCGCCTGTGGCCCAGTGAGTGGGGTGCCGGCCCCATATACCAAGGGTGGCCTGTCCCAGCCAAACTGCAACAACAATAACAAAAAATAGCTGGGGGCGGCGCCTGTGGTTCAGTGGAGTAAGGCACCAGCCCCATATGCTGGAGGTGGCGGGTTCAAACCCAGCCCTGGCCAAAAACTGCAAAAAAAAAAAAAAAAAAAAAAAGCTGGATGTTGTGGTGGACGCTGGTAGTCCCAGCTACTCAGGAGGCTATGCAAGAGAATCACCTGGGCCCAGGAGCTGGAGGTTGCTGTGAGCTGTGACACCAGGGCAACAAAGTGACACTCTGTCTCAAAAAATAAATTAAAAATAAATAAATAAAATAAAACCAAAAGGGCAGGAACTGGAGAAACGAGGCTGGCCCACCTGCGAAGACTTTCCTGGAGATGTGTACTGGAAAAGAGGAGGAGAACAGCCTGTGAGGGAACTTCGGGCAGGTAGGATGACGGCTAGTCTGATGTCTGTGGACTGAGGGGTCTCCTGAGACATGAGAATTTCAGATTTAAAGTTGGGGAAGTTGTGAGCAGACCAGGACCCCTAAGTGGGCAGGAATTAAAGTGCAGGGGTGACTTTGGGTAGCAAAGGGGACAGGGAGCCAAAGAGGGTGAGGAGGCAGTGACGTACCTCTGCACTGGGGCCTCTTCTCCAGCTGGCAGGGAGATAGGAATGGCTGTTGTCCCACAGTTTGTAGCCAGGACAGGCGAAGCAGAAGTAGTTACTCAAGTAATTATGACGTAGATTTGGATACAAAAGCTCTTCAGGGCTGGCATTGTATGGGATGGCACACATGACCATGTCAAGAATAGGGGTCTAGGGAGGATAAAGAGTTAATGACATGGGCTCTGAAGCTATGGGAAGGGGAAGGGGCTTTCAACACCTTCCTTAATGTCCTCATCACTGGAGGGTTTTACTCACTTCGATCTGTCTGGGGCAGAGATAGGTGCTAAGGTGCTCTAAGGTCTACATGTGTGTAGTTCTCTCATTGTGCCATGCCTGGCTCATAACCGGGTTGTAAGCTATTTGAATGTCTCAGGTTGTTCTATGTTTGTTCCCCTAAAAAACATATGTCCCCCTATGTATGTGTGGAGCAGACTCTAAACTAAATAGCCTAGTTAAGTTTACTTAGAAAGAACTGGACTTAGATTTTGCTCAGCTCAAGATAGTTTGCAGCTTGAGTAAAGCCAAGTTAACTGCCCACTTGAGAAAAAATCAATACCTTTTGGAGGAACATCACAGAATCTATAGTTTTTGTATATATGATATAATCCAAAATTACTCAAAGTATGAAAAAATTCATAGGAAAAAAAAACATGCTTAAGAGGAAGAGATGCTCCCTCAAGATGACTCAGATGTTGGAGTCGATACACTAGGATTCTAGCATACAAAGACGTAAAGAAAAATATGCTAAAAAAAAAAAGAAAAATATACTCATAATAAAGAAAATAGATAGGAAACAAAGGAGAGAAACAGAAACATTAAAAATAACTAAATTAAAATTCTAGCACTCATGGCTCAGTGCCCATAGCTCAGTGAGTAGGGCGCTGACTACATACACCAAAGCTGGA